TTTTCGAATGTTAACTTACTGATTAATATAAAAATTATCTAAGGTAAAGATCATCATTGTCACTTGTTTCAGATGAAGAAAATTAGGTTCAGAGAAGTTAAATGATGTGTTCAAGTACACAGAACTGGTGAGTGATAGCTGAATATTAAATCTCTATATGCTGTGTCTTCAGTGTCTGTTCTTTAACATATCTTCCTTGTACTGACTCTTACTGAACTAGTTGGCCTTTACCCATAGGCAGTAGGTCACTGTGGTCAGCACTAGAACTCCATAAGCCTTGGTTTCTTCACACAGATATAAAAAATGGTATTCAGTAATTACAAAGTTAATTTTAGAAATGCACATGAAATACTTTATGAGGCCTCATGGAAATATTAATCAATCTATAATCTTTGTTTGGCTTTAATATACTTCCATGATTTATGGAATCGAGTTCAAGTCTCATCTTCCTTTCAGAACTATCAAAAGATAAATTAGCCTGCCTTACCATCGTCTTCACCTTTCTATGTATGCTCACTGCTGTCTTCATTTTCAAGCCTCAGAATTCCCCAAGTCTTTTAAATTTTAGACTCTTTCTGGGGTTACTCTGATCCAAGAGCCTTATCCAAACATGCTTGTCCAGTCCTTATTGATCTTTTCCTGTTTTGATTCTAAGTTCTTATATATTTTTCAAAGTTATATAAATCACCAGTCTTATTTTGTTATAAATTCCCTGATTGTAGGCATTAAGTCTTATTTCAAATGTGCATCTTGTTTTTCCCGATATCTTGGTGGCCTTTAAGCAGATTTCATAGCCTGTGAATTTTCCATTAGCTCCAGCATCTTGTCCCAGTATACATGCTTGGCCTTCAGGAACACTTGTAGATTTGTTTTAGATATGCATCAATATTTCTTTAAGTGTTCAGCACAGAGTGAGCACTCCATAAATCATCTATTTAGGGACAGTTTGGTACCATATAAGGTCTACCAGCAATCACATATACTCTTCGTGTAAATACGTTTATCCAGTCAGAGTATTTAACAGCTGCAATGAGAATATGGGAAAGAGAATCTTTAGACTTCATTAAAGAAAAAAGGAGCATTCGAATTTTTAGGGTACTTTTTAAAATTTTTGTATTGTAGAATATGTGTGATATTTGTTGAAAATAGTTTCTTATTAAATCTAGTGTTTCAATCTTGAGAATGATTTAACATATTAATGAATTAAAGTACATTTCCATTTTGCCTAATCAGTAATTGTAAATGGTTTAATAATATTATTATTGTGGGGGGTTATGATGTGTAAGAATAAGAGGATGGAGCCAGGCATTGGTGGCGCATGCCTTTAATCCCAGCACTCGGGAGGCAGAAGCAGGTGGATCTCTGTGAGTTCGAGACCTGCCTGGTCTACAGAGCGAGTTCCAGGACAGGCTCCAAAACAATACAGAGAAACCCTGTCTCGAAAAACCAAAAAAAAAATGAATAAGAGGATGAATGGGCCTCTTGCTGTCCTCAGATTCTTCTCAGAGCGTAAGAAAGACTCAGCATGATTTAAAAGAGATATCAAGGCAGAATTTTGCTTTAATATATTGAAAATACTTGTCTCTGGGCCTGAGATCCAAAAGGTTTCTCTTGCACAGATGACAAGAGAAAACTGTGACTGTTTTATAAATCATTTTTGAGATCTGGTAAGTTTCTTTTGGTGACAAACTCAAGAAATCTGACTAAAAAAAAAAAGGAAAACAAAGACAGACAAGGCTTTGCCCCACTTTAATCTGTAAAGAGAATTATTAAATTATCTTAAATCATCCTATTTCATGTTTCTATAGTAGAATTGAACATCCTAAAAACAAAATCATGTACATAAAACAATTTTAAAAATAATCATTGTAAATGTTCAAGTTAGATATTTCAAATGTGATCATACTGAGATTAAATGGCTAATATCTAAATAGCACCCTTTTTAATATATTGTGGAGGGTTTTTTGGTGGGAGACAAAGAACATTTACTTCTTTTTAATAACATTCTTTAGCAAATCAGAAAGAAATTTTGAGCCAAGTATTACTGGATTTTTCTTTGATTAACTAATACTTTTAATCAGACCCTCAAAAACCTCTGGTAATCAGAACTTTCTGAAGGAATTTTGTTTTCTTTTTCTTTTTCCACCCTTGAAAAAATATGGCAGCAGAACATTACAGTGTTAAGGGTTTTTTTTCCTTTGTTTACAATTAAAATCTATTTGGCGAGATAGTCACACACTGGCCCAGCATTAAAACTATGACTGAAACTGATGATCAAGAAGAGGCCCCATACCACTTGTCAGCTAAGTGCTTTGCTCACTGGGGTGAATCACTGACTTTCTCAAGCTCAACTGATTTGTCCAAAGGTCCATCAGTTTCTTTGATAAGAAATTTGTCAGTGTTGACTAAAGTGTGAGATGATGAACATCTCAGTGGGTCAAATACTGTTTTCCCTTATATATGATAACGTGGTCTTCCTAGATGGATTCAGATTTTAATTTGGTCACCACATAGAAAAACTAAAATCATTCATCAACAGAAAAGATAATCCTCTTGAAAAATAGATATGCAGAAAACCCATAATACTCAACACCCAAATAAATGGTAAAATGTGATTTATGAAGTTTTAAAAAGGGTTTAAGCCTTTTAAATCAAATTTAAGAAGAAACATTGAATCAATATAAATTATGCATTTGAGTCCTGTAGAGACAAAATACGATTAGGATTTTTATCAAAATAGAATACTGAAGTGAAAAGTAAGATGAGATTTTCATACTTGAATATTATTTGTCTGAATGCCCTTCTTTATTTCAAATATAGCAACTATTTTTGTGGCCTAGATCATAAAATACTAAATTATAAGATACTCACTAAGTTCATCCAATCCATTACTGTTCCAACTGGAAAGTTGAGGTCCAGTGAGAACTTTTATTTGTTCTGGCAACTTAATGATCTTTTTAAGATCAGAACCTCAGATCATAGGAGTCATCTCTAGGTAATACAACTTGTAGGTTCTTATTTTGTATAAATAACACTTTGTGAAAAACACCTTATTTTGAAAGAATTGGTATTTTATGGATAAGGGCTTGACCCCAAACAGTCTGCTGCTTATCTGGAAAACTTAGAAGGGAGTCAGTCAAATTCTGGAAAACTTTATTATTCAAGTTTGTAGAGTATAGTTTTACTCAACTCATAATCACTCAATTCCACCAGTTAGTAATATGTCAGTACCGTATCTGATCATTGAAAATACTTTGAACTCACTTTATTCAATGGTCAAATCATAGTACCACTAAATCTTAGACATCCCTTTATGTGCCTGATTTTTTTGTTGCCTATTAGCCTAACTACACTTCTATGCTCAGGTACTGTGTGTGTGTGTGCGTGCATGTGTGCATTGTGTGTTATTTATACTCTGTAAACACGTTAAAACTGAATATTTAAGTGTTCCTAAAACAGCTAATCTTCCATTGTTACTATACTATGAAATCGGATTCTCTGCATGTCTACCTTTTCTTCAGTCTTCATATGAGAAACATCATGTCAACCATTCACTGATTCACTCACTAAAGCAATTTTTTAATCCTCAAGTAATAACAATATGAAAAGAAAACAGTCTTGACTTTAAGAATTCATTTACCTGACGCTGCCTGTCTGCTAGTCATTTTGTAAGCTAAAAGGAACCTTAGATTACTAGTTTTTTCAACATTCTGTCATTTTCAAAATGTCCCAAAATTCCAGATAATATGACAGATATCAAGGATAACGTTTCTTTATATGTCAAATATTATTGCAGATGAAAAGTAATATTTTATCATGAAATAATAAAAATGATGTGAAACAGTTTACAAAGGTGACCCCAGGGAAACATAAATAAAGTGCATTTCCAGGCCAGATTCAGGAATAACTAAATCTGTCTTGATGGCCTCATTCCTGTTTCACATGTCAGATATGAACTTGTCAATGGATACTTACATGTTTCTCCTGATATTTAACATGACTGGGCAATCTATGCTAACACCAGTTTTCATTCTTTAACAAACACTTTCAATTGTGAAATTTTCAATAGTTTCAGCTACCCTGTAAATGGTATATGAGTAATCAGGCCATATTGTACATACATTAACAACCTCAACAGAATGTAATTATTCTCTCTTTATGTCCTCATACCACTGCAATCTCAAATCATTTGCTGTTACACAGTTGTTAATGGAGTATGTAGAAGATATGCTCTGATTCTTCAGCCAAACAAACTAGTCAAGGTACCCACTTTCAAAATATCACCATAATCACAGGAACAAATTAGTATCTTTCTTCCTCTCTCCTCATTTCTCTTCATCTCATTTTAAGGAATATAATTAATAGCATTCTTATTTGTATGTCAGTCATTCTTTGTCATTCTTTTACTTTATAAAATAAGAATTTGTTAGCTCATGTATGGCTTTACAAAAATTTGATGAAAAATAGATTCAATGTAGAAGTGTATTGTGTGGTATGGGGACTGGAAAGTCATTAAATATTGGTTTAGTTCCTAAAGTGACATGTAGCTGAATTGTTTTTTATTATTGTTTGCTTTTAACTTTCAAGTATGATACTAACAAATATTCATGGAGAAATATTAATATTTTTAAAAGCTTATTTATACTGAACATGAAAAACATATAATCACTTAAAGAATAAAAATGTTCACTTCTCAGCACTGGAACAGCATATACCAAAGCAAAGAGTATAGCTCTAACATTTGTCATTAATTTTTCTTAAGATTTAAAAAAACCCTAAGATTGTGCATGGTGGTGCATTTCTTTAATCCCAGCACTCCAGAGCAATAGGCAGGCAAATCTCTGTGAGCTTGAAGTCATCCAGGTCTAAATAGCAAGTTTCAAGACAACCAGGGTGCTGTCTCAAATAAAAAAAAGATAGACAGAAAGAAAAAGAAAAGAAAGAAAAAGAAGAAAAAGAAAAAAAGATTCCAAAAAACCATTTCTAACTAATTCAAAATGTGCATTTTTAGTGAATATTTATTTATTAACTGAAATCTAACTATAGCATAAAATAACTAAACAGTTTATCCAATAAAATACAGTATCATTTGATCACATTTTCGGTGTTTCATTTTGCCTATTAACAGCCCAAAATATGTCATTTATTTTCTTAAACAAAGTCACTATTTGGCACAAGAGTCTATTTACATAATAAATTGCTTCATTTGTCATTTATTCCAATAACTTGAGGACAATTATTTGTAACTAAGTCTAACAGAATTTATACATATACTTTCAAGCTGAAATACTGCTAAAAATTTCCAACACACATGCAATTCAGTATGTTTACATAGTAACATTATTTTTTTATAAAACCTGTATCTCTAAGCACTTCATAGTATGTGAATACAGGAGCTAGTCTACCCTCTAAGTAAATAAGGTCTTGGGAGGGGAGACACTGCTGAGCAGTAGTCCGGTGTTCATTTGATTTGAAATGGGCTTGCTAGTCCAGACATTCACTAATGCTATTGTGCCGTCATAAAAATTGTAGACAGCTCAATTCACATTAAACTGCAAGTAGACTTTCAAGTATAAGCCCTTAGCAACCAAGAAATGGATAGTACAAGTAACACTGACAAAACATACTCTTATTTTGCATGTGAGCTTGGTTTTAAGCGAAATTGATACTGAAAATCCAAACATACAAAACAGAGTGGTTGTTTGCATTATAAAATGGTCTTTTGCCTCATAAAGAGATTCCCAAGTTTTATTTAAGTGGCAGCTCCCTTAATGCACTTAAAATACAATTTGATTTATAAAACTTCAGTTTATACACTACTTTTCCCACAACCATTTTGAGGAGCAAAGTAGAGCTATACAAAGTACTTCAATCTCTCTTACACAATTAAGTCTCTTATTGTGTCCATAAAAGGCATGTGAGCTGAAAGATTACCGTTTAAGCCACTAAAATAGAAAGTAAATATTGCCTCTAAAACATGAATATTCCATAAAATTGAAGTACATCAGTGTTCTTTATATTTACAATTTTGGTATTCAACTTTACAAAGTAGATGTAGATAGCACAAATATATAGCTATCGTCAGGCGATAACATTGAGCCTAAATCTGCTGTGATTTGTTTTATTTTAGTGGGATTGTCCCATTTTAAATACATAATTCCAAAGATGTGTTAATAGCACTTAAATTGTAACCAATCTACTTATGATTGATTTATCAGTTCAATATTTTACTTCAGTGAATTTACACACTAAGCCTTCTGCATTGCATTACTCTCCCCACCTGGAGGGAGACTACCTGGGGGTGATTTTCATTAATGTGAAGCTCTCTTTTTTTGTACTATTCTCCTTGCCAAATTTGGAAGTTCTGTGGGGAGAAATGGGTTTAATAACAGTGGGAGTAGGGATGAAGGCTTGGAGTTAGGCAATTAGCGATCCTGTCTAATTTATATCTATGGCCCCTTAGCACACAGCAGATCCAGGCACCAGGGAAGAGAGCACTCAACTTATAGTGAATGAATGCCTGAATAAATGAATTAATGAATGAAACAAATTCAGTAAGAGAACCATCTGGAAGGCTTTGCTCACTAGCATCCAATCTAGTATGATTATGGAATGTGTAGTATCATAAAGAATTTGCAGGGTTTGAGAAATGGCAGAATCTCTCTTTGAGTCATTATGTGTCTTTTCAAAATCTTTAAAATAGAGCCCTTTATGATACATAGTTATTTAGAAAAATTAAGTGACTTTATTAGTCAGAGGACAAAGAGGATATTTAAGAGTCTTTTTCATACTCACCAAATGTCTGAGGAAAGAAGGCACACAGGTTGGCCTAAGTCTATACAAAACACTCCTGGCAATGGTGTCAAGGCTGAGGAATAGTATTTTTGCAAATTTTATACAAATTTACCCACTGGTATATGCAGAAGCACAAAAGCTACTAACTAGGCATTAAAATCTAGAGTGATTGCTATTTAACATTTGTACGGTCAGACATCTATCTCTGTTCCAGGCATAGTCCTAGGGCTGCCATTACCTGGCCTGGAACCATTCTTGCTAAGCTCACACTTATTACAATCTGCTCTTAAGATAGTAATGGAAATAAAACACCCAGGTGGAGGAGTTAAAAATTAATGTCTTAAAGTAAAATAGGTTTAAAGGTGAGCCTATAAAGAAAACCAGGATATAACCAGTGGGAATGCCAATAAATTAATTAAACTTGCATTTGATAGTAAAGATTAAAACATAAGGTTCTTATACTTTTAAATGAAACCATTTGAATTACACGTGAAAGACTTGATTTCAAAACTCAAAGTAAATGAAAAAATCTAGAAGCATGAAATTATTGAAGTAAATTGTAATTATTGAGCTGTAGAGTTTATGGATTTGAGTTCTTCCAGGAGGCCTCTTTAAAAATCACGAAAATGAGTGAAAAGTAAAGTATATTTCATTAAGATCAATGAACTAATTTTGTTATTAACATGTGTGCTTTACTTTCAGAACAATAAGAAAAAATGCTGAAGTAAAACCATGTCATTAATAGATCAAGTCACAGTTAAAGCCTAAAAACTATGTTTAATATGATATATGCTGATTCAACTTCATAATGGCTTCCCCAAATAACTGTCTCTGTATCATGTATCGAGCACTATAAAAGCAACTTTTAAAACTTCTATTGTGTGTGTGTGTGTGTGTGTGTGTGTATGTGTGTGTGTGTGTATGTGTGTATGTCACTCAAAGATGAGGTGGTTTCCAGGAGCTATCTCCATGTCCCAATAAACACTAACTCAGTACTCTAGTTCCTTTTGTATGAAATGTAAAATTTCTGTATTAACATATGTGTAGATCACTTTGACCCACCATTTTCAATTGTAAGTTAGTGAATTTAAATGGCAATTTTTATACTTTTAAACAAACAGCGAACATGTAAGTCAGTCACTATAGATATTCAGGGATTTAAAATTTTGAAACGCCCCTCAGTGTCCTTTACTTTTTTATATGGACACAATTATCTTCTGTTGATAAAAAGTCAATTTTGCACTGTTAATTATTAATACAAATAATTTGGATTTCAGTAATTTCTGTAACATGAATTGTTAATAGTGGTAATGTCATTTTAAAGCTTTAAAAGTAAGTTATCAAGATCCACTTCAATCTCCACACGATAATAAAGGATTATTATGTGCAGTAACCTATTTATGAAAAGGAAACAGTGTGCTTCTTTCAGATGCCATCACTTGCTTTAATAAGGAATTGAAAAGCTGGACTACTTTATATGCAGATCACCATCCCAGTTGCATAAGGATTTACAATAGACAAAACAAAACTATTTTTTGTTGTAAAGAAAGGCTGTTTGTTTAAATCATACAATAATGATTGCATCTAAAAATTATTTACAGTCTAATAAGGTTTCATAAATGTTATATAGAGTTGGTTAGTTAAAATAATTGACTGCTAAGACCAAAATGAAAAGCTTGCTCAAGCTAACAAGAAAACTTTCAAGTAAAGCATGCCCAAAGAAGGCAGAATGAAAAAAGATGCTTACTGCTGTGGTTTAGGTAACCATTAATGAATTTGGAGATGCAAATAGTACATTTGTTTGATAGCACCTCATTAACGCTTCAATTATACTCAAGAGGAAAACCTACCTTTGTCAAAAAATGTGAAAATTGAAAAGAATTTTGAGTCTAATTTTTGATCCTCAAAAAATGTAACATATGCAATTTTATCTCTGCTGTCTTGAATTTGCAGAGAAATTATGTGGGAAGTTTTCATCTTACCTTTGAAGTCTTCCTTCAAGGTATTTAATGGCTCTTGTGTCTTGATTAAATGAGGTGTGTGGCGGCCTCTACTGGTATGTGTTTATAGAAAATGTTGCAACAGGCAGAAAAAATATTAATTTCAATTAAAAAGTTAGAAATACAGATTTCCATTTAAATATATAAAAATATCTAATTTGATGCAGAAAAAATATACTACAAGTTGTGAAATGCACTCTTAATTAGGAAAATAATCTAAAACATTGACCATGTTAGTGTAAAATAATGATTTATGGAAGGGCATTAATTGTTCAATTCACTCTGATATTGGGTTAAATATATTTTATTAATGAATTGCTAATACCGACAGAGGTGGCTTATTACCTCTAGTCCACTGTTAAATCCCCTTTCTTGACTTAAATAAAATCACTTATAACAAACCCAGAAGAAAGGAAATATTTTACATTTAAGTCTATAAAGTCTTAAGCTACAATTGTTTGATGACAGGCTGTTTTCTATAACTCAAGCAAACTGTACCTTGACTTAATTAATACAGCTGACATATAGATCTATTTTACATTGAGTTCAATTTTAAAAAATACAACACATTAAAATACTTTTAATATACTTAAGTGCAAAGGCACTTTAACACAAAGTAGCAATGCCCAGGCCTATACTTGGTAACTGAAGACAGCAATACCATAGATCATTATTTACAAAAGAAGTTGGAGTCCCAAAAGATCTTTGGAGATCTTCTACAAAATATTCTCATTTGAAAACTTTACTTACTATTCCTTCATTCACTATCATTTCTTTTCACTCCCACACTGGCAAAAAGAAAAGAGAGAAAAGCAGAAACAAAACCTAAATAATATACATGAAAAATGCAGTGTAAAAACATTCATGTTCACTGATGGCTCCTAAGAAGGGGAGTGGAGGTGGGAGATCGAGAGAAAAATAATTTAAAGGAAAGCTTGCAAGAGCAATATCGCTTCACCCCTTTTCCCAAGGCTTTCAGTCTCCCATTAGCACTGGGGAAGGGAGGACACAACAAAAGCAAATGCAGTGCTTCCAACAGTTTGGAAAGCATCCTTTGATGCTATAGGGTTGTAAATGATTTCCTTTCACAGCTGACTGATTGCAGTTTGTTTTTCCAGAACTTCGAGGTAGTCTGGTTCTGATTGCGGCTTAGCTTGCAGCAAAGGGTGGTCTGGCTTTGACTGCCCCACAAAGCATTTTCTGGGAGTCCCGTATAAAACGGTTTTATTGATTCTGTCTTGGTTTTGGCGTCGAGATTCATATGAAGGGGCAAACTGCCTTTTAGGTAAGGTACAAAAGTTATAGTGGGCTAGGCCTGCACTTGGTAGTTCCTTCACTCGCTCAGCGATATTCTGATACAGCACCTCAGGCTCTCTTGGGGTGGTCTGCTTTTCCAGCAACTCAGTGGCACTTATTGTATAAGCAAGTGGGGCTGGCTCTTCTTTTTTCTCCTCCAAGTTGCCATAGCTGAAGTCCTGCAGGTTTCTGTAATAGGCTACTGGGTCTCCTTCCTTTTGCATGTAGATGGGGTTTTGGCACATCTGACCCACAGGTGGGGGGATGTAGTTATAGACATGACCATCAGCTTTATCATTTGTTTCGGTATTGTAAGACCCATATTGTAAGTGGAAGGAACTTCCATCTAAGTTGTTGGCACTCCTGGGAACAGCTGGCACTCCCTTTCGACGTTTCAGAACAAAGACGAACAGCCCTGCCCCAAAACAGACAGACAGGATAAAAACAACCAGCAATCCTAAAATTAAGACGGAAAGTGGAACTTCAGTGTGTAGTTCAGGGTAAGAACTAGGAGACACACTAAGTGACCTAGGTGTGTCTGTGTTGTGATTCATTGATAAAATAGTCCCATCTGACAAATTAGGATTATCTGGACAAATAGCCTCCCTTCCCAGGAATTTCAGTATCTCCCCTGCATGCTTAGCGGGAGACTCACAAGTCACCTCATTGATGATGACAGGAGAATTGGCATGTTCGGTCCAGTCCTTTAGCCCCATGATGTCACAGGTGCAGTCCCATGGGTTCTCTTGCAGATCTATCTGGATAAAAGCAGGAAGCTGGTCCAGAACTCCTTTTACAGGCAGGTGTGAAAAATGATTGTTTCTCAGATTCAGCCTGGTGAGGGCTGTGCCCCCAAATATATTATCAGGTAAGGACCGCAGCAGATTGTTGTTCAGAAACAGGAGCTGGAGGTTAATCAAAGCATCAAAGGTCAGAGGCTTAATCTCCTTAATGACATTATACTCTAAATAGAGATACTGCAAGCTCTGCAGTCCATCAAACATGGAAGGGCACAGCACTTCAAGGTAATTGCCATTTAGATAAAGTCTGCGTAAACTGGTCAGGTTTGTAAAGGCACCTTCCTGAATGACTGCAATTCTGTTGTTTCCTAAATGCAGCAAATCCAGTGAGCTGTATTCTAAGAGGTCATTCTTATATACTGTTTGGAGATAGTTCCCTGTTAAGTAGAGTTTCTTTGGACTGGTAGGCTTGGGCTGCAGGTCAGAGATGTTAGTGAACTTCCTTTCTTGGCAGTTAACATTTAGACCATTGTCTGAGCTCTGAGAGGTACAGACACAGCTGCTGGGACAGGTGAGAGCCATGGGGGACTTGGTCTGGTACACCATGATGGGCCCAAAGCTCTGCCGGTCTTTTGACACAGTCACTCGCGGAGTTGGACGATTTCTCATTTTGGGTGGCCGACTTGCTTTTGGGGCCCTGGTTGGATTGAAAGCAGGATTCATTGTAGGGGACAGCCTTTGGACATGAGTGTCTGAATGACTGCTCCTAGGACTAGAATCACCACTTGCACTTTTTCTGGGACAGAGGTCCTGTCTGGTCAGTTGGGTCACATCTTTCCCATGTAACCTGAAAGGAGTTTCACAGACAATCTCGCCCACAAAAACAGTAATGGTGTCCAGCCATGCCTTGAGAGGAAGTAGGTCACAGGTACAATTCCATGGGTTTTCTTCCAGCTGAATTTCCATGATTCCTCCAATATGTTCAAGGACACCAGCAAAAGGCATTACTTTCAACCTGTTTCCCCTCAGGTCTAAGTGAGTTAGCAGGACAAACCGAAACACATTACTAGGCAGAGACAGCAAAAGGTTGTCATTCAAGATGAGCACTTTGAGCTTATTTAGTTTGCTGAATGCCCCTGCCTCAATGGTGCTGATGTAATTGTAGTCAGCTTGGAGGTACTCCAGGCTCTCTAGGCCTAGAAAAGTGTCCTCTCTCAATACCTCCAGTTTGTTGTTATTGAGGTGCAGTCTCTTGAGAGTCTTCAGACCGCTAAATGCCCCTGGTCGGATCTCCTGCAACCCATTGTTACCTAGATGAAGAGTCACTGCGTTTGAGTAATTAACAAATTCGTTTGGATACAGTCTTGTCAAGAGATTTCCGTTGAGAAACAGCTGATAGATGCGATACTGGGGGGGTTGGAGCAAGCTGACAGTTGTAAATCCTTTGTTTTCACAGTTAATATTCAGTACGTTTTCCTTCTCTTCGCACAGGCAGCGAATCTTGCAAATGTCTTTGGCAGTTTTGCGGCTCTCGGTCTGTAAGATCCCGGCCACAGTTAACACACTGAGGAACCAAATGCTGCTCAGCATCTTTAGGCACCTTTGATGTCAGCTCAGGTACCTACAGGCAAACCTTGAATGAGGGACAGGGGGAGAAAGCAGGGTGCAGGGAAGAAAGAAACAAGGAAGCCTGATTAAAATGACAAAGCTAGGAGGCGGGTGGCAGAGGGGAGAGTGAGGGGGTGGGCAGCAAGGAAGAACGAAATCACTGCGTATTACAAAGCAGTTTCTTCTCTTTTTCTCTACCCACTCCCCCAAGCCCACCCACACAACATGTCCCAGAACACACATGCTTGCACCTGATTTCCCGGAGGGTCACAGCTAGCCAAGGAGTCATTAGTAATCCAGTCGTCCTACTAAATCCGGCCCATCTCCTCTTCCCCTAGGATATTTTGAAGAAATCTCAGGCAGATCGCCCTTCTTGGGCTAGCAGTAGAAATTGCTTTACTTTTTTTTTAAACTGCATAAAAAGGAGGGTGGAAAAATGAAAAGTCAGGGGGGCTAGCGGAGGGGACAGGATGGGAGGGCAAAAACAGTTCCTGCTTGGGGTTACTTACACATCAGGAGAAGATAGGGCTCCCCTCCTCTTCAGTCCACCAGTAGTTTAGCATCTTCGGGAAGAGAGGGAGAGCAAAGTAAAAGAAGACGCCACTTGCAGGGGTATGCTCTGCTTTTTGTTTGGTTGATTTAATATAATAGGGGAGGGGTGCGCAGAAATTTTAAATGCCGCTGAGGGTCAGAGAAACAGGAGGATTGGAGCAGAAAGGAGCTGAGCTGCAGGGAACCAGGGGTGGGACCGCATAGGGAGGTTTCATTGATTGGGTCGCTTAGGCTTTTGCCATGGCTAGTGGAGCCTCGGCGCGCGCTTTCAGTCCAGTGGCAGCAGCAGCAGTGCGTCTAGCAGTTTGAATTTGAGAGGTTTTGCAGGCTCCCCAGGACAGGAATGGGGTGACGTCACGGGGGAGAGGAGTGTGGGCAGAATATCCAGGGCGCTTGGTGGGGGAGGGTGGGACAGAAGCTTCCCTTCCCTTTGAGTGGCTTTGCACAGCTCAATTGCCAGCTGCGTCAGTTGTTTCAGAATTACTCTATCTCCAGCCGGGCTGGCGGCAAGAGAAGCTCCTTGTGAACAGGAGTTTGTTTCTCAAGCAGGCGGCCCAGCTCCCTTTAGTGCTGACCTCACTGAAACTCCCCTAATCCAAACCAGTCCTAAGGATCTCTTTCACTTGCCTTTCCTCATCTATACCTTGCCTAAGATCAGTTATCTGGTCATTAAGCCTGATCTCATGCCAGATTCCCAAGGCAGGATCTAGACCCTCCCAGGAACTTGTATGTGTTGTATGAATGTGGTATCTCTTGCTACCGGACTGATGGCAGCTAGACAGACTGCTAGCTGAGATGCTTTCGGCGCAGAGTGGAGTGTTTCTGCGCTAGTGTGTCTGTGTGGGAGTGAGAAGAGTTCTCCAAGGGGAGCGATACTTTACTCTGTTTCAGTGCTTAGGGAATTACATTCTGGGTGGTGACCCCCCAAACAGCTATTTGCCTGGACTCTGGAAAGCCAGCTCAACGTTAACTGGTAGATTGAGCCAAACAAAAATAAAATGCTTCTCCCCCTGAGGTTTATACTTAGCCAGATAATGAGGCTTAAACGTGTGCTGTTTGCCTGGAGGAAAGTGAAGTGGAGTGGGTGTCAGAAAAGTATTGCCAGGCTAAGGCTCAGCTAGGAGTGGGAGCCAAGGCAGGGGCTGTTGAGCCCTGTAGGCTGCAGAGACAGAGAACCTTCACCCCACCCCATTCCCCCCAAACAGGGAAGAATGCAGGGCCAGAGAACTGACTTCTGCTAAGAAGTGGATAAAAGGAATTGTGAGCTGAAACCCAGAATACTAGAGTTCTTGATCTAGCTTTGTGGCCCTGTCTGTCACTACTTTTAGGATCTTACCATTTCTGTTTGCTAATGGTGGTAGAGTGTTGGTCCTCTGGGTCCTGATGTTGCATTTGGGTTCAAATAACCTTTCTAGAGCATCACTAAATGGCTAGGTGTTGGATTTTTGCCTGCATTATCTCTTTTCTCCTTGTTGTATTGTAATACATCCAGGAGTCCCAAGTGGAGAGCTCATTTGCATGTGTGAATAATGCCTGCTTGGAGGAGCTATAGGCAACCTCTGATGGAAAAGAAGATAGAAGTTAGGAAAACATATGGGAAAGAAACAATAACGAAAGGGACTGATTAAATGTGTTTGTTCCACTAAACAATTCACCTTTCTTTCCCTGCCTCTTCAGATCTGCTGCAGAGTTCATCGGTGTCTTATTGTCTAGCCAGAATGAAAGGGAGGCAATGCCACGGGCAAAATAAACCATTTGAGGATGGAAAACCACCCAGTTTACTCCTTTTCTTTCCCTATTAAGTAGAAATCTTAAGGCTGCATAACTTATACAAGTTCCTTCCTCCCTCATAAAAATTGGGGCAGTTTAAAAACTTCAGCAATAAGGCCACCTGTGGCACTGTGATCTCCTGCCCCATTATGTCTGGCTTTCTCTCTTCTCTCTTCCTCCTTTCAAGAAAAGCCTTGGATCATCGTTCAAGATCCCCCTTCTTGCTGCCATTCCTCTTTGGCCTTTAACAAGATTTATTCACTCTGAGGCCTTAGTTGTCTTTCCCCAGGACCTAGGGCAGGCATGAGAGGAGCATGGCACTCCTGGGAGTGGACAGTGCAGTTGTGGATAGCCCCCCATTCTATTGCAGGTGCCTCATTGCATGCAGGCAGAGTCATTCCTTGTGAGCAAATTTCAATGTATTTCCAAATATTGAAAGTACATTGCTTCTAGGGAGATACGATTTATTGATTCAGCCTTTCATTTAATGAACATTTAGCAAATGTGACAGCTGTACAAAACCTAACAAACCAGGATTATTTTACAAATTGGGACATTCCTCAACCAAGTGACCTGCTGACTTGGTTAACTTCAAGAAACTCAAATTAGAATCAGAGCCAAGGGATTCAGAGTAACCTTGTATTCTTTAGAACCCAATACTGCTTAATATGAGTTAGAGAATTGCAAACGTAAACGTAATGGGATATCTTACAGGGAAGTGCCCATTTTTTTTACTGCTAAAATAAATGTCATTAGTTTTAGTTTTCAAAGACAGCAAAATCTTCAAGACATAGGTAATGCTCTACAGACTCTTTGAAAACCAGGATTGTTAGACTAGAAATGAAAGAGAAAGAAAATGGGAGGAGGGGAGAGAGAGAGAGAGAGGAAGAGAAGAGAGGAGAGGGTTTGGTGGTCTTGAGATTTCTACCACTTACACAATAAAAGAAATTTGGTGCTAATCCAGCAGTCCTGTGCCACAACAAGGACCCTGAGATGCTGAGTTTTCATTTTATTGTTATCTTTCTGCATGAGTCAATTTACTCTGCCACGGTATCTTCTGCCTGTGTCTGAGCTTCTGTAGCCACTTTGAGAAACATGATCCTTTCTGGACGTGAATGAGTCTCAAACCCAGTGAATACTTTTAAGTAAGTTTCATTTGGTCCAGTGTAACTGCTAAAAAGGGTGGGCTTTTAAGGAGCTAAAAAGGTTCACCGTGAACTGGGAAACACAAAAGCAGGAGGAGCAGATGCTTAAATAAGCAAACTGCTTGTTCTCTTCCTTAAGGAGAGAGAAGTTGAAATGCATACTCCACTGCCTCACCCTCCTTTGTCATTAACCAGCTAGAGCTGGGTTCAGGTCACCCAAGCTTTTTCCACAGGTCACAGGGGGGCCAGGCTGCAACACATTCCTGCAATCCTTATGGCTAGAGCCAGCTTAGATGTCCAGCAGGCCCAGCAGCCTTCTTCTCCAGCCTTCAGGCTGCTTCATGCTAATCTAGCTCCCTTCTGGAGAGACCCAGGCTCTAAAGGAGTCTCCTTTGCAATAAACGGGATGCACCAGCTGTTAGAGTAGTGGTACCTTTCTTACACCCTAGCGGCTAATGTCTTGATGCCAGGGGGTGACCTCTCAGAGGCGAGGGCTACTCACTCTGCCTTTGCCACGGGGCTTGGGCACTGAGAATGAATAGCGCATGTTGCTAGCAGAAGGTCTTGCATGGGTGAACCCTGGTAGCAGTGGTGGTGACCTGGTCATGAGACTCCTGGATCTCTACCACACCCGCAGAAGGTCAGGGGGCAACAAAAAGAGGGTACTGAGGGGAGACGGAGATGCACAAGAGCTGGCCATGGTGGGTAGAGCCAAGCCACCCCGGGGTCTTTCCCACTTTGAGGCCAAAGGTATCCTGCTCGTGGGTCGCATAGCCACAGCATTCCCGAGTATTCTTAACTTACCGAGAGAGCAGAGAGCGCTGCCTAGATCTTCCCCGAGGCTCCAGCAGCATCAGCGACTCTGAGAAGCTCAGGAGCTAGCACCGCCCGGGTACCAGTCGGGCTGGATGTGCAGTGGCACAGCAACGAGGAGCGGAGCGCAGGCGGTGCCCCCCCACCCCCACCCCAGGGCGGGCAGATCCTTGCTGGAGCAGCTTACCACACACAGCAGCGCTTCTGGCAGGAAGGAGGGAGGGGAAGGAGACAGAAGAGGGAGGGAGAGAAGGATGGTTGCTCCTCTCCAGCACTTATCAATCACCCCTTAGATCAAATGTCCCTGCTGTGCACTCGGGGAGGGGTATGTACCAGCCCACAAAGGAGCCTGCTCCAGTTCTCTGACAAGCGCTGCAGAGCACCGCTCTTCCTGTCTGCCCCTCTTAACTGGAGCTCTGCCCAGCTATTGCAGCTTCTACCTTGTGCGGCCCCTTAGACTGTGTCAAGTAAAATAAGAATGGTACTTGCGCGATGTATCTGAGGGGTGGAAGTTATGGACAAGTGAAAAAGCAGTGAGCAATCTGAGTTGGACACCTTCCTGTAACGCTGCTGTCTCTCTTAACTAGTAAGCACCCGATCACTGGAGTTCGCTTGCATATTTTTAAGGACCTCTCTTGGGTGGTAAACAAGGTATTTTCGTATTATATCGTGTTCAGGGAGACTCAGTGCAAATGTTTGAACACAAGCAAGACTTAACAGTGTTCCAGACCCTGCCTGAACAGTGGTTATTTTTATGCTTCAGGCGGTTTTCAGAGCCCTATTTCTTGTCTTCTCCTTTGCTTTTCCCCCCTCTCATTTCTTCTTCCTCTCTATTAGTAGTCTAGACTGATTCTATTAAAGGAGTTCAAAGAGTCAGGTGGTTCACGAAGGTGATGAGGATTTTGCAAAGAGCACTGCCTCCCTTGCAGCTCCTTCTCAGCTCTCCCAGACCATTCTGGGTTAAGTTGCAATTGGTTCAGCTAATCAAGGAATATGGAGTTCTGGTACCAAGACAGTGGCCATCTCATCCTAGAAGAGAGGAGCTCTAATTGAAGTTTCCATAGCTTCCTGACCTTTTCATATGCCCTCTTAGAGTCTCAAATCCCACTTACTCAGAATATCCAGAGGGTTGGTAGGGAACAGAAGAAAAAGAATTGAAAAATAGAAAATTATGCCAGGAGAGAGGTGCAAAATTAGAGCAAAAGCTGTCTAAGAAGCTAGTGAATGTGCTTTAGGGTTTATCTACTTTCAAGGTTATTGCTCATACATTTAAACTAGATTCATGCAACAATGAATCTGCCTCTTACCTCTTGAAATTCTTTTGTGCATTTTCCTTTCTCTTCTCTTTGGCTTTCTTTTTTTTAAAATAATGGTTGACTAAGGAGACTATGATGGGCTTTTAAAAATAAACACTACTGATAATCTTATGCTGTGAACAGGTAAAGTTTACTTTAGTAATATCTCAAATTGCCTAATTGTATCTCTTGGATCTACAGATCATTAATGTTCCTCTTACTCGAATCTTAAAGTTTATTTTGAAATTTCCATGTCATTCAAATAAACAATTTCAATATTACATGTTTGAAAATAACTTGAGGATAAACTATTTTCTGCTACATATAAACATTCTTCTTTTAAGTTCCTTGTTTGTTTATGAAAAAAGTTCAGTGTGATATTTGCTACAGATTGTAGTGGCAGTTGGTGCACATTGTATTATTATTAAGGGCAGTTATTTTGTTACTTCTCTTTCTTACCCTGGTAATCTTTCTTGTAGTTATTTAATGGGTGCTGCTAACAACTACGAAATGTGAGGCTAGGGACCATTGAGATATAAAAATAATGAGACTGTCTACTGGAGAAAAGGAAGAGTATGCTGAGAAGGGTGGCGTGTCTCTAGTTAAAGGGAACAACACACACACACACACACACACAAGCAAGCTATAACTAGGTTGCAAATTCAGTGAAGTACAAAACAACAGTAATAAAACAAACTGATGTTTATTTGGATTTTTCATTCTTAGGTAATGGACTGAATACATTTATTTTAATTAGCCTTGTAAGTAATTCTCACATGCTTGCCAGCCTTCAGAAAGCATTGAGCAACCTGCCTTTCCACATGGAACCTCAGTGATAGGTAAAACGAAAAAGAACACACTATACTTTTAGTCAGCAGAAAATTTTCAAGTAGGTGGGTAGCATTTTGAAGTGTTCTCTGAATGTGCACATACACACTAAATGATGAGCAATAGCAAATTTTGTTAGAGCTATTGTACAGATAATTATAGTAGAAGAGAGCTTGAAGCATATGAAAAAAAATTAAGTCTACCAATTTATTTGAAAGCTGCCTTATACTGACTTTCATAAAAAATTCTGTTTTAGTGGAAAGTTTCTAAATAAAATGGATACAAAAGACACATTGATACACATGTGCTTTCAGTCATACAAATCACATTATTATTAATTCTTCTATACAGGAGCAATGTGAATGTATCTTGATGTTTGTGTGCTTTTTTTCTATTGTATAGTTTATTTTGCTAAAGGGCTAGAGATCCCTGATTACAAATTAAATTAGAAAACAGGGAAATAAAATAAAATTTTACCTCTACATTTATAAATTTATGATTATTAGAAGAAAACCAGAAATTTCATCTATGATGGAAAAAAGCATGTTTCTAAGGTATACAAATACTATCAAGTTACTATGTAGTACATAGTTCACCTGCAAATGTTATTTTTCCACTAGAACCAGAAAGCATCAGATAAACAAACAATATGGGAGATGAGTATCAATTCTAAGATAGATTACTGCCCTTTCAGAGAAAACTGTTCCCTTGAAGCAAACATTTTTGAAAAGGGCTCCAAAGGACAGACAAATTTCTAAATAAAGTGGCATACAGAGGACATGCTCTAAATACCAATGATTAGAGTTTGAAGGTTATTTTAGACATTGGTTTCTGATGTTTTTGAAAGTATAGACATTTTAAAAACTCAGTTCAATTATTCTAATTATTTTGGCATGGGTTTTGTCTTCTTTTAAATAGTGTGCCAGCACCCAAAGCAGTTTGTCTTTTAATTAAGCACATGTCTAAGTGCTTTAACTCAAAGATCTGGGCTCACATCCCACCCCTATTACTTCTTCATCACTGGTCCACAGGAAGTTCTGCACCTCTTTCAGTTTCTCCGTGTGTAAAACAATTGATACCATCTGTATGATGTCAGGGCAGGATGCATATAATACTCTTAATCCTGTCCAGGTGCTACACATAAATTCAAGGAAAAGATGAAATGAGGAATTTCTATACTCACTCCCTAAAGTGAAGAAATTTAACTAAATCTAATGATTTCAGTAAAAAAGGAAAAGCTTAGTTTTCCTTAATACAATAAGAATTAGAAAAACTTGTGAACCCTGTTACTGTTATGTAATGCCAGTCATTCAAATAAAAACTTCACCCCTTTTTCTACTTTATGTGTGTTATGGTAAATATTGTGTAATTGTCAGGATCTAGAATTATCTAGGAGACAAATCCCTGGCAATATCTGTAGCATAATTTCTAGTTGACATTATTTAAGGTAGGGAGACCATATTAGTGGGTAATGCCATTATGAGGGCTAGACTTCTAGAGTGAATAATAAAAGAGAAAAAGAGGTGGGTATCAGTAGTCATATCTCTGCTTCTTGCCTGTGTATTCAAACTAACCAGCTGTTTCCTTCTCCTGCTGGCATGGCTTCCCTTGCCATGATGGACTGTATCCCTTGAAACTGTAAGTCAAATTAAGCCTTCCCCCTCTCTGAAATTTTTTTGTCAGGTGTTTTGTCACCACACTGAGAAAAGTAACTAATGCAATATGCATAAACTGGAGTTGCTCTGACACAGCAAGACCAAGATCTTATAATGCCTCTTATAATACTAAGACTCACAAATGGAGACAGGTGATACAAACTCATGCTGCTCCCCAGGAAGAAGTGTGTGCCACAATCTGGATAGTCATAGACTATGGCCCACTGAATTGATTTCAGAGGTGACTAATAGATTCTATTTCATAGTTTGGAAGCACTAACTCACTAGATTGGGCAAGAAAGAAAGGAAAATTGGACAGAAAAGAGAAAAATGGGCAATAGAGGCAGAAGGGGGAAAAGAAATACATGTGGCAAAAAGTTATGGAAGAATTTATAGTGCTTGATAAATTATGTCAAGTACCACATACAAATGGCTCCCATTCCCTGAGAATTCTAGATCTTCCCTGTTGTTGGATGAATCCAGTGATTCATTGGCAAGAAGAGTGTCTAAGCTTACTGAGTAAATATGTATAGCAAAAGCCACAGATTTTACAAGTAAGGACAGTAGTAAGCATGTCTTTCATTTATCCTGACACAGTCTAGCCTATTAATCTTACTGCAACTGGGTGTTTTAGTTTTGTCTGGAGTTATAACCTAATATGTTCAGGAGGAAGCTGAATTTATTGGGTATGATGTTGCACTTTATTGGAATTGTATAGTGCTGTTGAGTTTCTGTACCGAGTTCTCTTGATTTTATTTATGTATTTATATTTAGCTAGTATAAATGTATAGTACAGTATTACTGTGGTAGAGAGTTCATTGCTGACTTGGCTGGAAGATTCAAAAATGTCTGCTTGCTAGTTGCCCAGTTCTAAGGAGTTAACAGCCAGAAGAACAGCTACTACGAATTTGCATTAAATATTTCTGATTTTTAAAAATATCTTAATTTGTGAAAAGGACTAATCTATTAGTATTAAAAATGGTAGATATGGCATATCACAGATCTACCATAAAACTGTGATTTCCACAAAATGAAGTGTGCTTTAAAAATTGTGAATGCAGAAGGTGAGAGTAAGAGTGAAAATAAAATCATTTCCAAATAAGCACTATTCAACCACCACTACAAATCAATGAGGAAAAATTTTTTTACTTGAATCCTGATTAACTAATATTTTGACATGATATTAGTTCCCTTTTTTCCATTATGTCTCAGGAAGTCCTTAAATAACATTACAATGACACCTAGCATATAGCTCTATTCATCTGATTATTGCTATTATTGTTCATGAGGTCACCCCTAAGTCAATGGTAAAGTCCCTAAGGCATATCCTATAACTTTTGCATCTCTCTGTAGACTTAATCTCTTATGTCCTAAATATATCTATTGTGAGGGAACCACATTATTTTTCTTTAAAAACCATCATTTTGGGTGACCCCAGAAAACCATGAAAATAACGGAGACACAGATGTCACTGCATTGTTCCTTTAGCTCTTCATATGGAGATGTAATGATCATAAGCCAAAAAATGACACTAGCTAAGGTTGGCCACTTAGTTGCCATCATTTGGTCATATTGAATTGTCTTGTTTATTTTAATGTATTTTTTCAATAGGAACCATAATATTTAAGAA